TTTTTTGTGGCTGTCCGGCAAAAAACACCGCAAAAACCGATGGTTTTTGATGCGTCTCGGTTAGAAAAATGACCGAAAAAAGACAAAAAAAACAGGAAAGATTTTGTCAGAAAGGGTTTTTGAGGCTTTTGGAGGCTTCAAAATTGCACAAAACTATGGTATTTACAGGGTTTTGTGCACCTTCCCGGCAGAAAACGCCGGTATTTACACGGTCTTCTGCGCTTTTCCAGCGCTCAACCGTGGTGCGCCTTTGGATCGACGGCTACAAAATACCGTAAATACCAGTGTTTTCAGCTCCTCCTGTCTTCAAGCGTGGCCTTAGACCTTGCCGCGGCTGTGGATCGACGGCAACGAAACCTCGTAAATACCAGTGTTTTTGAGCACGTCCTGTTTGCAAGCATGGCCTGCGGCCACGCAATTTACAGGGTCGCCGCACGTCACTATGTAAATCCGAAGTTGCATTTGAGAAATATGTGACTCCTTTTGAAGGCACGTCAACCTGTATTGAAACCGCTAGACCGCTACAGCTTCTGGAGGTTTTGTCAAGCGCTTGTGCATTAGTTTTTCTTTCATCACGCTCACTCACTTCTCTTCAAACAAGTGGGGGGCCTCTCACCTCCTCCCGGATTACGCCTGATTCCCTGCTACCTTTCGTTCACCCCCCTCCTCTCTCAAGTACCAGATCACGCTTTACGCCAGCCACCGTTCATCCGAAGCCGCGGCTGTCACCAACCACCGTTTACACCAAACTACGGTTTACACCAGACCCACTTTCCCATAATATGCCAGCCATCATCAGCTGTTGCTGCTTGCTGGTTACCAACCACGGCTTACTGTTTATTTGTTGCTGCTTCTGCTTGGTGTTTTTTTGTGACCGCTGCTGCTGCTGCTGTTGCTGCTTGGTTGGCACCCGTGGAGGACACCAAACCACGATGGTTGTTATCTTTTGAGTTGGCCATGGGCAGGGCCATGTAGTAGAAGAAAAGCCAGCGCGAAAGCGATGCAAAACGAGTGCTAAATCTATTACTCGTTTTGCACCGATTTGTAGGCAGCATGTCTAGCCTAGCATCAAAAACTTGGCTTGCACCAAATACAGTCGCAACTTACACTGAACCACTTTTACACCTAGCAACGACCTTTTACACGAAACCGGTAACCGGTTTACCACTTCTACACTTTCGTATAAGAAAAGGATTCTAAAGGACCAAGACTCACAGTTCCAATGTTTAGTATAGGATGTGTTTCTGCAATAGTTTCCACATTTCCTTCCTTTTACCTCATCCATGCAGTGGTCCTTCTCCCGCATATCGCACACGTTGCTCCCCACCAGCTAGCTTTCGTTCACCCCCTTTGGCCTCAAGTTTGAAGATTATAGAAAAGGAGAGGGGTGCTTCTTTCTGCACAGCCTGGGCTCCGTAGTAAGATCAACATCACTGCATTTGACCACTGTTGAAGGCACCCTGCAGGATTCCGACAGCACGGCTGGTACGCAAAGAAATATACGTAGAGAATCGTACGCCCTCAGTGCCAGCCCTAGGAGAACAGCGTTGTCGATCCTTGTGTGGCTTTCAGCTGGCATCAGCCCAGATCATATCTCCTGTGGAAGCTTTTTGAGCTCCTGCGAGCCTGAGTTTGCAGGTTGTCGAATGGGCATATGGGATCATATAGGTTGTCTACAGTAATGGAATGTTTGTTATTTGTGTTTCTTTTTTGTGGGGGTTAGGTGAGGTAGGTAGTAGCTAGGTAGGTAGCTATAAGTAGAAGAGGTAGCTAGTAGCTTAAGTAGCTACTACCTAGGACGCAGGATAGTTCGTGCTTTTTCAAGGAAGCTCCCCCAGCCGCCCCAAAGGCAGCAGGGGGGAGCTTCCTTGAAGAAGCGCTCGCACTATTCATTTGGTCCCTAGATTTTGAGGGAAACTTAACTATATGGCTGATGTGTAAGGAGAAAGCTGGTGAATGGCGAGTAGCTCTTCAGGTGTTTTGGGAGCTACCATCGCGCTCGTCGCAGTGCTTTGACATTCTTAATCGAGTGCTGGTGGGGGCTGCTCATTGGCAACTCACACTTCAGCTGATGAGTCAAATGCTAGAGCAGCGCCTCATGCCCAACGGCATGCATGTGGCTTCTGCAGCGCAGGCATTGAAAATGCCTGGCATGTCAGCAAGGCTGTTGCAAGATTCTCTAGGCTTGTGGAAGGCCAACGCCCCAGAAGTGTTCATTTGGAACTCTAACTTGAAGATGACACTGGCAGAAGCTGGTTGTCATCGCGAGGTTTTGGCATCTCGCCCAGGCATTTTAGCAATGTCGAAGCCGCCCAATATGACCACAGAGGCCATTCTGGAAGAGCTGACAGATCGCGTGAGCAGCCGCGACCCAGAACTTGCATGCTTCACATCAGTTTCGAGGTTAGACTTTCCAACCTCTGGGGTTTTGATTGTAGCTCATGGTCCACCAGAATCTCCAGCTGCAAACTGGTTGCAGGCACAGTTTGCCAGCCGCCTTGTCAAGAAGGAATACCTGTGCCTCGTTGAGGGGAAGAGCCTCGGAGAAGTAGGTTCTCAGGGCGAGATCGTGCAGCCGCTTCTGACCATCTCTTCAAACAGAGGATCAAGAGTGGAAGCATCCTCGCTAGGGCAAGAAGCCCAAACCAAATACGAGGTTCTTCAACGATTTCCTTTGAATGGCACATCAATGGAGCTGATCTTCTTGCGCGTGGCCCCTTTGACTGGACGGATGCATCAAATCCGGGTCCATTTCTCCAGCATCGGCCGACCGCTGGTTCCTTTTTGCAATTTTCATGTAATTTTATTTCCTTTACCTTTGATGTTCTTTTTGTCCGTGCTTTCTTGTTTCAGAATGCTTAAACATAGATATCTTATTTCATAAAAACATAGGTATGTATATATATATAATATATATATATATATGTGAATTGTGTATGTATGTGCGACCTGCGCCTCAGGTGGGTGACTTGACCTACAATCAATTTTCACAAGCAAATTTAAGCCCTCGGCTGTTCTTGCACTGCCACCAAATGGAGCTGCAAGATCTTGAATTGAAGCCTTTTGCTGTAAAGCAATCACTCCCAGGAGATCTTCAAATGGTACTTGATAATTTGCATAAAAAATAGGATGCACTAGGGCTCGAATAATTTAAAATGTAACCAATTAATTTGCTATTTGAACTTTGCAGGTGCATGTAGGAGCAACTGATCTGAAATATTAATTGAGGGGAATTTTCATGGAATTGAATCATAATTAATATGAATTTGTATATATAATTGAATATATAACAATATCCTAAATATTACGATAATGCAATTAATATATATAAATATAAATAATACTTAAAACACAACTAAATTAAATTATAGAATTAATTTAATATTTAAATATATAAATATATATTATAAAATAAATATAAATTAAGAATTCGATAATTATATATATATTTTTTAAAATAAATTATTATTAAATTTAAAATTGATTGATTTGAAGATTTTTTTTGCATTTGAATTATTGGATAAATAATTTAATAATAAAGTTATTTTTATATTGGTTCGTTTTAATTAAAGATATAATTAGAATAATATTAAAAATATTTATATATATATATATATTATATTTTGGTTAGTTTTTGATTTATAGAATGGTAATGATTAATGTGTATAGATATTAAATATATATGTAAATTTTTGTTTTTTTGGTTAATTGATATGAATTGTATTTGTTCGATTCGTAATTGTTTGATTATTAATTTAATTAATTGTATTATTGATTATTGGGTCTATATTGTATTAGGATATATTTTGTTAACATCGTAAAATGGAGCTTTTGGTATTTAATGAATTGTTGGGAAATACATTTTTAATATTTTGGTAATTTTATTTGTGGATTGTTTTTTGGATTAATAATTTTAGGATTTGGGAAATTTATAGGCCGCTTCTTCTCTAAAGTTTGATAGGCCTTATATTTTATTTTTATAAAATAGCATGATTTAATTTTTTCGTTATTATATAAATAGGTTGGTTCGGAAATTTGTGGTGGAAATATGTCTACCAAAAGGTTGCATATTGTTAATAATTAATATCGAACCTGCATATTTATGTATATATTTTTGCATGGTCGTGTGCTTGTAGTTCCCAGCATTGAGGCCCAATCCAATAGATTTGACAGATCCCCTAGGGCCTGATAGCCCCACTTTACCTCTATAAAATGGCCTGCCTTGACCTCCTCACCGTTGTGTAGAAAGGCTTATCTTTGGATTTGTTCATTAAAAAATTGCAAATAATTATTGTGTCTATTTGTGGCCTGCCTTTTGGATCAAGAAAATAATTTCAAAGCATCGGGGTCCAGCTTAGCAGACCTGGTAAGATCTGGAAAGGAAACCTTTTCTCCATAGAATGGTATGCCTTGACCCCCGTATTATTGTATAAAAAAGGTTTGCCTATAGATTTGTTGTGAAAATTGTCCTAGGGTCCACAGCCGCATTTGTTGTGGCAGGGTGAACATTTTGTGGTAGGGAGGGTGAACATTTTATGGTAGGGAGAACCTTTGTGGCAATCCAATTGGGTACGATGGGAAATTGCAGTTGCGCTTGGATAGTCGGCAGGCCCTGCTTGGAATAGCTTCCCCCACAAAAGAACAATCACTTGAGCAGCGCAGAAAAATGGAGACAAGAATTAATCTAATTTTGTATATATTTTGGAAATTCAAAAAAGGACAGAGAAATGACATGGAACAAGATAAATCAAATTTGAAAGATTCAAGAAAAAACATACAACCTCAGAAGTAATTGAAATACAATGAAAAACAAAGCCAAACAATAGAAAAATGATTTGTAGACTACTCGTTATATATAAACTCACGTTAGGTAGACTTTTCAATTTATACATGTGTGGGGCCCAACCCCATTTTATTTCTATAAAATGGGTAGAAGGACTCCCCCTGGTGAAAGGTATCGGGGATTGTATTATATGTTAGCTTATATTATATTAATTGATATAATTAAAATATTGAATATTATTTAGTATGTTTTTGTATTTTTTTATGTTGATAATAGTAATTTAAATTATTCAATAATGGTTTTAATTAAATTATGTGTATTATAATTAAAAAATAATGCATTGACATTGATAAAATAATTGTATATTTCGAATATATTTATTTTGGAAATGATTTAATGTTGAAGACATATTTACCTATAATTAATAGGAATTTATGAATGATATAAAATGATATGGCGAATGATTGATATTAATAATTTTGTATAGTAATTTTATATATTATTTATTGCTTTTTGATTATGTTTCGAAGAATTTTGATATTATATAATATGGGATTTAGTTATTTTGAAATTCGATTATATTATAATGTAATATTTTTAAATATTGTTGTTTTAAAGAATATTTGGGTTTATTTTGTTTGAGAAAATATGAATTTTTTTTGAATGAACCTATATTTTTAAGGATTTGATATGTTATTTTATGGGGAGATATGGATAGGGATATATTTCTATTAAGGGTAATAATTTTATATTATTATTTAAATATTATTGATAGATTTTATATATATTTATAGATTTATAATTTAAGATTTGCCGTCGACCTCGAAAAATATTTTTTGTATTTTTGAGCAATTAATTAATGGTATATTATATTTTAGAGGAATCGATTGCGCTTTCTGAATTAAGCTTAACAAGCCCTAAATAAATCTTAATTAGTGGCTTGATTCTACCCCGAATCCTCGGCGCCGCCGGACCTCGATTTATCGGATTTTCGCTCCTAAACGCTCAATTTCGATTTATCGGATTTTCGCTCCTAAACGCTCAATTTGAATATCTATTTAAAAAAATGCTTTTTATTTTGGTCTCAATGATCGCAGCTCTACACAGGCCGCAGCCCCAAACAAGCCCCCCATCAATAGCTTGATCACCCCGAACCCTTGGCACCGCCGCGGCTTTTCCCTATAGAGTTCTGCTCCAAAACGGGCCTCGATTTGTCTGATTTTCGCTCCCAAACGCTACGTCTGAATACCTAGAAAAGAAATAATTTTTCTCATCCTGGCCTCGTCGCCACAGCTCTAAATTGGCCGCAGCCCCAAACAAGCCCCCACTAATGGCTTGATACCACAGTGGCCGCAATTCTAAACAGACCACAACCCGAAACAAATTTTTAAATATTATTCAAACAAAAATTTCTATATTTTGAATATATTATGAATTAAAATATTCATAAATCAAGTTAAATTATATATATAATAAATAGATTTAAAATATATTAAATATATCCTTTTTGTTATTCAATCATTATTACATATCAATCCTTATGTATTTTTATTAATTTAATATTATTAAATATCAATTAATCCTATTATTTAAATCATTAATAAAATCAATATTATTAAATTGATATTAATATAATTCAATATATTTAAATAAAATATATATATATATAATAATATAGAATATAATATATAATTAATATAAAAAAAATTATAGATAGATCAAAAAAAAATATATAAATATATTATATATATTATATTCAATCTAAAATATATATATCATAATATAATTTATTGTTTAAAAATATTTAGTTCTAATATATATAAATGGCATATTTAAATCAATCCATATCATAGAAATTAAATGAATTGCATTAATATAATATTTCAACAAGAAATCAACCCTATCGCGTGAAATCGGTTCATTTTTATCAAAATACAATGAACATATTAAAACGAAACGACATATTCAAAGAAATGTGTGCACACACTATTATGGTTGATATTTTTTCTTTTATTTTTCTATATATTTCAAATCCAAATTTCAATAATATAATACCATTCACATCAATATACGACTTAGAAAACGAATTACTTGCGCGCACACACACACAAATAACATATAAGCCTCTATGCGAGTCCCGGCGCGAAATTCGTGCGAGCTTAATTCCGGTTATCGTCCTACGGCTTCCTACGATCAATGGGTTTGTATTTTTTTAAGCTTCCCAGGCCGGGATGTTTGATTATAGGGTATGCTTCGGAGGTATGCTTCGGGGATATGCTTCGGGGGTATGCTTCGCGTAATATAAAGACTAAAATAGTAGCATTTTCAGAGGGTATATTTCAAGATATGCTTCGGAAAATGCTTCGCCTAAATCGAATATCCCAATCCTACATAAATTAAATATCTTTTTGAAAAAAAGAAAGACCAATATGACAATAAATCAATAACCGCCAACCCAAATACCCAACCAAAAACAACAATAACAATAACAACAATAATAATGACAAAAAACAATAAACCCATCATCAATCAAAATATCAAAATTGCCTCATAAATATAAAAAATAATAATTAAATACATATAAAAATATATGTTATAGATATGTTTATTTCATTCATTCTTACATATTCCTATAAAATAGGAATTCTACAAAGAATCCGAATCAATTTTTTACAAATTAAATCGATTTAAAATTAATATCTAATATATATATATAATATCCCCTGTAAAATTCACATGACCACCCAGGGGGTGCCATTTTATGCCTACAGATGGGGTACCCCAGGTTCAACCCAACCAATCCACTACAAAATCCAGCCCCCCGAGATAGAAACCTTAAGTCTATAATATTGGGTTGTAGGTTGGCCATAGTGAGCTCACAGAAATTTCTCAGAAAAGTGCGCTCTCTATAAAATCAATCCCTCCAAGTTGCAACCGACAGTCCAACAAATGCAAAGCCACATCCCGATGCATTTCCCGATGAATTTCCCGATGCATTTCCCGATGAGTATTCCGATGCGATTTCCGATGCGCTCACCTTTTCTATCCTTTTCCTGACAGAATCTACAAATTGTCTAACCCATTTTGTAACCCATCTGACTCCTTTTCTAACCCATATTGAAACGAAACCAGAGTTGAATCGGCATGAACCGGCTATAACACGCTACAACGTTGCACGAGACAGTGAGGCGACAGTGCTCCGCATTTTACTGGAGCTTTCTCGCGACGTGTTCATCATTGTGGAGCAGCCAGCCCAATCATGGGCATACAAGACAGGGTGTATGATGAACATTAACCCTTCCCACCCTTCCAAGATGGAACCCTCCAGGGGCCCTGATTTTGTAGAGATTGAGTGGGAGGTGCGGGGAAAGTATGATAGGATTCATGGTCCTTGATAATATAGAAAAAAATTGGTGACAGAAATGGTCCAGGCTCCTGATTCTGTAGAGGATTTGGATATTTTGATTGTATATAATATATATTGTATTGCTTATGGTATCTTATAATATTCTATAGTTTGTATCGACTACAGGCTAGGCGCATCGCGCCCAAATGCTCCAGGTTTTTTGGAAAATCCAAACAGTTAAAGCATGTGGAGATATTCATGAATCAGCTTTCCCCACCACCTCCCATTCAATCTCTACAAAATCAGGGCCCCTGGAGGGTCCTATCTTGGCAGAGTGGGAAGAGTCCAAAAATACACCTGGCATCACTTTGCCAAATTCAAGAATATCCTTCCCCCTCACCTCCCACTCAATCTCTACAAAATCAGGGGCCGTGGAGGGTCCCAGCTTGGAAGGGTGGGAAGGGTCCAGGTTTGGGGAAAATCCAAACAGTTATATAAAGCATGTGGCCATATTCATAAATCAGCCTGCCCCACCACCTCCCATTCAATCTCTACAAAATCAGGGCCCCTGGAGGGTCCGAAAGAATCCTGGTTTTAATAAAATCAAAAATACCTCTGATATCACTTTGCCAAATTCAAGAATATCCATTCCCCCCAGCTCCCACTCAATCTCTACAAAATCAGGGCCCCTGGAGGATCCCAGCTTGGAAGGGTGGTTGTCTCATTGATCCTTAGGTTTGTGGTCCTCACATACATGGGTTTCTTTTTCCATGATCTGGCCAAGCCTACGCACATGCTGTCGAACATGGAGTGCTCCCATGATCTGGCCAAGCCTACGCACATGCTGTCGAACATAGAGTGCCAGCCTCAAAGAGATCCATTTAGTGATTTCAATTTGGTTTATTTTTTGATTGAAGCAGAAAATGTGGTTGACGCAGGGGAATTTAATCTAATGTGTTTCATGACAGGTTAACAAAGCAGCTCAAGAGGAAATTAACCAAAAAGGACAGAGAACGAATCAAGGTTCCTTAACTAATACATACAAGTGGTTGCTTTTGCTTTATCGTGAGATTTAATAACAATCAGGTAGAATCTTCTAAGGCTAAATAGTTCCAGGATGTTCTAGCCTAGGCCTAACTAATAAAGAGAAATTTAAAACGAATGAACCCACGAATTTATTACCAAGAGCGCAGGCGTTCCAATGGTGGATGTAGGTAGCAAGGAACAAAAGAGCTACCATACACCGCCTCTTTTTGTAAAGCAATTTTAAAGAGTTAATTAAAGGTTAAAGGCCAATAAAATTCAGCCAACACAGCCCGGCCAAACACGACTATTAATTCGACGCATTTCCCAACCATCTCTACAAAATAAATTCTACAAAATTATAGTGGATAAATACACACCCTTATATCAATAAAAAAATACTTAATCAATCATCTTTACAAAATAAGTTCTAACCCTCTACAAAATTATGGTAGATAAATACACATACTCAAATCAACGGAAAAATATATAAAAATATAACGTTTCTATAAAATTAATTCCCCCAAATAAATAATATATTTGCTAAAAATCTCAAAAAAATACCCTAATCACTCTACAAATTTAACCCCCCCAAGTAATTCATTTTGTAAAAATCATTTTTTTTCTCTATAAAATGGTCATTTTAACCACCTAAGTGTTTTAAATCTGTAGAGGAAATTTTGCAGGAGATTATATAATATATTTATTCATTTCTAAATATATATATTATATATATTTATAGATATTAATATATTTATTAATTTCCAATTATAATTCGAAATTATATATTCGTATAGAAAATCTAAATCGATAATTTTTATATAATCTATTTATATATATATATATATTTCTATCCTTAGCAATTTGTTCCGATATGTTCTGCTCTCATGGGTTGTGCTTGATTTTGGAGTGCGACCCCACCAGCAGATGCTTCTGCAACCTGCACTTGGCGTAATGCTCAGACATCAAATCGTCTACGATTCAGGATGGCCATCAGAATAGTATCAGTGAATATGAAATAGATCAGTGGATCCTCAAAGGATCAGCTCCTGGTTTAAAACTTAGGGCATCCTAGGGCTCAGCCTGGCTCGGTTGCGACCCCAGCCTTTTGGCTGGCACTTGATGGGCAGCACGCCCACCAGGTCTCTGGGTGAGGCACCTGGAAGGTGATGTTGGTCTCCGGGCGGGGTTCTAAAATCCACAGAACTCTTTGCACCTGTTCTTTTCAGCTTTTAGATCTTTTTCAGCTGTTTCTGCTCCAAAAGATATTCTCGTGACTTATACTTGGGTGATCTCGGACGAAGGCGGCAGTCAGGTTCTAAAAGTTGGGAAGGTCCAAACCCAATCAAACCCATTTGCTGCCCTATGCCTCCAAGAGGCCCAATCCTGGGTCCCGGACATGATGTTCAGGAGGGTCTTCGGCTTCAATGACCTCATCGAGGATGTGAATCCTGGCCAAAAGAATGCACCAAAACTGGAAACGACATGCTCTACATATGCATATATGCCATTTAAGTACACCGAAAAAAAACGCACAAAAATGAGGTAAGAGATGGTAGGAGTTCTGGAGAAATGTTTGAAGAAACTTCCTTTGTTCATTAACAAATCTAAAGAAAATGGAGGCTTTCAGCGATGTCGACTCAAACTGAGGCTGATTCAACAAACTCGCCAGAGGGGCTGTCCAACTTGCACCGGCAGGAAGATATTCCCGCTGATGCGCAGCCACTCCCCATCCACTTCCATCTGAGTGGAATGAAGCTGGAACAATTGAGCAATCGTGAAAAACTCCAGGTATCCTTCTCAAAAAGCGTTATAACGCGCGAAATCCGCTTGAAATAACGAATCGTTTCCTCGAAACCTGTGCCAGAATTCATTCATCATCAACCTCGTCGGCCTCCCCAACGACGATGGCACCATTCTCCGCAAATCGGGAGTATCGCTCCTTCACTGCGACTGACTTGCGTTGACTTGGGACGATATCACACATGACCTGCCTTAGCTGAGCAATCCCGAAAGTGGCAAGGTAGACAATCAGGTTTTCAGAACGAAACGGAAGTCGCTTCTCGTGCCCAAACATAGAAAAAATATCAGTGGAGACCGCAGCAAGTGCTGATCAGTAGAGGACTCGACATCTTTTTGGAGTCTATCTGCTTCAAGTCTCCTCCAATTGCTTTGACCGCCTGCTTTCATGCTTTCCAGCACTTTTCGGAAATTTTTGCAAGGAATGTTGCACATCCAAAGCTGCCCAGAGTTACTTTCCGGGTTTCTTGCGTGATGTTCACGAGGGTGACAGCAAATTTGCAGCCAGCCTATATTGCACTCCGGGGTAGGGCTTCGGGACGGTCACCTCACACAGGAACAACATGGAACAACAAACAACAGCTTTGGGACACCCGCAATGCCTTATGCCTGGATTGACCTGCTTTGGATTGCTGCCTGTCCTATGTTGCCCTTGTTTATGTAACTATGACACAATGTAGAGAAACACCAACATGAAGCAAAGTCAGAGTATGCCAAGTCGCTCGGAAACTGCACAGCAAACTTCAATGCAACAGTCTTTATGGAGATGAAAAGTGCCAACACTGCGTGAACCAGTGAACAGTGGAACAAACAGCAAACCTTCATCGACAGAATCTATCCTTTCTTCGTGGCTAAACACGCACTGGCCTTGAACCTGGAGCTTTTTGAAACAACCTCAGCAAAACCGGTCCATGTCTCATCCACCCTATTTTCGGGATCATAGGTCTACCTATGTCTAGATCATGAAGAAACAGCAGTAACAAGTGCATCGCTACTACGAGCAAAAGGCTACTAGTAGCTAAGGGCATTACTACTAGTAGCAAGAAGCTACTAGGAACAAAGGGCATCGCTACTAGTAGCAAGGACGCACTAGTAGCTCCTGGCCATACTACTAGTGGCAAGAAGCTGCTAGGAACAAAGGACATCGCTACTAGTAGCACAAAAAAGCTGCTGGGAACAAAGGGCATCGCTACCAGTAGCAAGGACGCTACTAGTAGCTCCTGGCCATACTAGCAAGAAGCTGCTCCAGTGGTGTGAAGACGACAATGCTGGGGGCCCCTGGCTGGCAAGTGCTGAATTCGGTGCATCAGCTCGCTGCTCAGTCGTTGCAAGTCGGCTTGGCAAATGAGCTTTGGCCAAACCTGGGCGCTGCCAGGTGGTGCTTTCTGAGTGTTTGTACTTTTTGTTGAACAACCAGACCACCAAGGTCACACCTTCGATCTACAATTTGAAGCAGTCATTCTTTGGCTCCGTGGCACTGCACGTCCTTTACAGGTTTTACAAGTTCTTTTGAAATATTGCAGCTGGCCGTGGCAAATCCTAGGATCATGTGCCACCGCTAGCCTTCAGCAGGCACATGCCCTGAGCTTTGGTTTCCCTATGTGCCGCTGAATTCTCGAACGAAGCGAGCTCGACAGGGACCTCTGTGTGTTTTTCCCGTCAAGCTCAGCAACTTCTTGCAAGTATTTCTCACGTCGGCTGGCTGACAGCTAGCTGAATCATATTGTTTTCAGGTTTATGGCAGCGGACGTCATCAGAAGTCTCGCGACTTGTGATGCTTGAGAACGAGGCAGGGGCTTTTCAGGTTTCTGGGTTCTCTCCATCCAAAGATTGAGATTCAAAAATGATTCAAAGCTTGCTTTATCTTGCTTTTCAGCCTGCCGGTCCAAAAAATAGCTCTGCGAAGCTCTGCTCACACGCAGATCCAGAATGCAGAAAGAATAAGAAAGGCCTTCACCCCATTTGGCTCGTGACACCGCTGGAGATTAAAAGCAATGAATGCAGGCATGCGGCAAGCTTGTGCCTGATGCCCCCGGGCACGATGAGTTCAAGCAAACTGGAACGAACACGTCCGGACGTATTTCGCCCGAACCGGATCCCTTCGGTCTGCTTCGTCCAAAAAGATAAACACCGTTGAGCGTCACATCTGTGATGAGATTCTATGAACCAGAGAATTCTATGAAGCTCGCAAAGCCCTTTTTGTCGGCTTTGTTCTACTATTCAGAAGATTCACTCTGCAATGCTTACGGGAAAAGCCATGGCCATGTGACAGCAGGTTCTACTTGCTCCCACGACCACAGGCGGTGGTAGGCACCCAGCGCTCTCAATCTGCAAAAGACAGGCAGCTTGGTCAACGAAAAATGGGACTATGAAGATATATGGAGATCATTGAGATCATGGGTTTGTGTGCTACTAGTAACAAAGGGCATCGTTACTAGGAGCAAGGACGCGACTAGTAGCTCCTGGCCTTACTACTAGGAACAAGAAGCTACTAGGGTTTGTGTGCTGGGTTGGAGAGCCAGGTCTAAGAATTGGTATAGGGGGCAAGTGGTTAGCAGTGGCTAGCCTCCAGCATTCTTGAGGTTCCAGCGCTGGGTCCCCGTCCCGTTGATGCATATGACTCACTCTCCACAGACCCTAAAATGCCAGAATGTCATTCTGAACAACTCAACGAGGACGTCAAGTGTTTGCTGATTCAGGGCTTCAATAACTAGCAAGTTAAGAAAGAAATGTTCAGAAACTCACTGTAGCAATTTTCAGAAACTCACTGTAGCTCCCAACGGCTCCCGTTTGAGTGGGGGGAAAATGACAAACTAGGTTCTGATGACTAAGAATTGATGGCATCTTATGGCTTGGGAGTAGCGGGCGGTACTCCTTACTCCTTTGTCACTTGGAGGTAGTATATATACCCTGATCGTCGGCTCCCTTCGCTAGTTCAGGGCTCCACCCTGGTGCATCGAAGGACATGTGCACCCTGGTAGTCCATAAAGTAAAACGGCAGCTGATTCAAACCCGGATCCTCTCAGCAATCTGCAGCACATCGAGCCCTGGAATGTGAACTTCATCGTATTTCAGCCCTTTGATCTCTTCAGCACTTGGTGCTTGGAGCAGTTTGGCCAGCCGATTGTCCTGGAGGTCGGCTGGTGGCTCAAAGTGAACACACCTTGCCATGCAACATAATGCATTCAGCTTGGATTTGGGAACCCTTCGCCATCAAGAGTCATTGTCAGGAGTGTAAACATATTTTTACAGAATCTCCGTAACCTTTAGCCACGACCATGGAATCTTTCCCCACTCCCTGAAGAGGCTGCCTGAGGCAGGCAAAGTCTTGCAATTTACAATGTTCCCATTCCATTTGGCATACAATTTAGAAACATGGCGCTTGTCATCAACATAATCAACTGCATCTGAAACATGTGAAAGAACATGAAAGAACGAACATAATCACTATCACTACAAGCATGTCATGTCTCCAACCGGTTCAAAGGTCTCACCCTCAAAACCGGACAGGACAACAGTGTCTACTAAGGTCTCACCCCTCCTGGATGGCGTTTAGCTTCTTCAACTCCGCACGTGTCTTGGCACGAATGGCACGTAGCTCGCTGGCGGCTCGGCTGCGCTGCTCCTGGTCGTTCGCTCGGAACGAGGGGTGGAAGTTAGTTTATCCTCTGACTGACTCACCAACATGGGAAGTGGAAATGGTTTGCAAGGTTTGCTCCTAGTAGCTTCTTGTTCTCTGTAGTAATGCCCTTGTTACTAGTACCGATGCCCTTGTTACTAGGTTTGCCTCTGGGCAGACCAGATTCCTCCAAAAATGGTTCCCACTTCCATGTTAGTGAGCTGGCATGAAACTTCCAGGTGTCAGAAGGAAACAATGAGAAACGAGACGAAACAAGTGTCCGATAGCTAACAACTGTTCAAGCTGCAACGCGGCACGCAGAGACCAGCCTGAGTCGTTGCAGAGACCATCTCCTTGGGGGGTCTAAGCAAATCAAGCCTCTACAATTGTCGAGTCATGGGTCATGGACCATGGATTTGTAGCTCGCAATGCCAACGATGGCAACCTATCGCACAATTCGTGCAACTCTTCCACGAGTGCAAAAAAAATTGGACCCTTTCAGATTACATAGTTCTCAAAAGGTATCAGAGCTGGCGCAAAAGCACCGGGCTCTACAATGCCCACAGCTTGATGATCCTGGTCGAATGCTTGGGGTTCAAAATAGCAACAGGTTCCAGGACATTTCCAGGACATACAAACCGGGGCCGCAAACTTTGAGGAACATGCGGGCTCGCCAAGGTGCTAGTGCGAAATTTCGAGCGACACCGGGACGCCAAGGGCCCAACCTTGCCAAAGCGACCACGTGTTGCGTCCTTGCTCCTAGTAGCGATGCCAGGAGCCCCTAGTAGCGTCCTTGCTCCTAGTAGCGATGCCAGGTTCCAAACATCTTGTCTACTGGTTCGGTCATGTTTCTCGCCTTAGCTCTTTGCTCGAACATAATTTGGTCCCGAGCTTGCTCGGTAGGGCACTTTCCCACACTACATTTGCACTACAAACTGGCCACTTCTGAGTCCATTTCTGAAAGGCTCTTTCCCGCACTACATTTGTACTGCAAACTGGCCACTTCTGAGTCCTCCTTGTTTTGGCAAGGGAAGACTTTGGCCAGCGTCCTTAACGGCTATGCTTGCGCTGAGGATTCAGAACCGCTATGCAATACAGATGCATACGTTGACTGCGTGGACCTCTTTGAATTGGCCACCGGTCAGAAGAGTGTACCACTTCACCAGACCACTGAGGTATATTCGATGAGAGGGTTTTTAGGTTGGAAGTCTTTTGGTGTCACAGGCCTCAACTTCAAAGCTTTTTAGTCATAATGTATTTTTGGCAAGTCTCCAAAACGAGCGTTTCGTACGAGACTTCCTCCGTTGCACGCGGCCCGGACAAACCGCGCCTGCATTTCGCGCACTCGACACGCACGGTCTCCGCAGAGGGTCGCGCGCACACCGGACAAATCGCACTCTCGCCTGCATTTCGCACCCTCGACACGCACGATCTCCGCAGAGGGTCGCGCGCACACCGGACAAACCGCACTCTCGCCTGCGTTTCGCGCACTCGACACGCACGATCTCCGCAGAGGGTTGCATTTTCGGTTGACGCTGTTCGTCCCACCCTCCGCCTTTAAAGAGAATTTAAAAAGTGGGGGAATGCTTTTCATTAGGATATCTCCCGTGAAAGTTTTTCATGCTTATGCTTACGCTTACACTTGCATACTTACACTTGCACGCTTACACTTGGATACTTACACTTGGATACTTACACTTGCAAACCTTCCCTTGGATACTTCAGCGCCATTGTAAGTATAGAAGTGTAAGTGTTCAAGAGATTTTCCGGAAGAACCCTTCGCAATGCTTTCGGGAATTGTGCAGAAATTGACAAAGGCAATGTGAACTTTACAAAAATATTAAAGGACAGCATAATAATGTGATTGTGTGTTTTAAGTTTATTGCTTTCTTCAAGGTCCAGGTGTTTCCCTACCATTGCTTGGTAGATATCGCTGGCCAATATAGAATCTATGCCTGCTGACCTGCAAGAGCTGCAATACCACCGCGCCCAAGCACCACATTTAGAGGTGGGTACACCCACCAGTGCTGGAGATGATTTTCAGCTGTCCATGTTTCAAATAAATTTGGCCCTCGTCAAAAATAAACACCTCAACCACTGCAAAACATCGACCGCCAATCCCTTCCATAAAGACCCTTCCATGAAGACCACACAGGGTGATCTTCCCAAAGCGCTTTTTGAAAGATGCAGCAATAACAACGAGCCCGGTCAAAGGCCCGCTGTGCGACCCTGAACAACCAGTTCCTTGGAATACACCTGAGGATATGTTCTAGTGGAACTTTTGTGCACAGTGCAGGGTTTTGGGCCAGCGGCCAGAATCTCATCTGCAAACGGGTGGTGGTGGTAGACTACCCAACCACCCCCAAAGATATGATGCCCATTCTTGGAAAGATGGGGGAACACCCCTCCACATTAACCACCACCTCGACAGGATAGGGAGCAGTGACGTACTCAACCACTGCCCAAATAAGTTCTAGCTGCAACGCCGTGTCATTTGCTGCAGGCAACTTCGACTAGATTGCTACACCTGTGGATGTGGCCACCTTGTGCGCCTTTTTTTGTGCTCAGCCAGGCTGTGGACTTCGCTTTGGGGCGGTAGTGGGTTGCTGGAGGGGAGGCTGATCTCTTGTAGCCCACCTGGTGACTACTGTTCATGTGATGCTGCTCATGCCATTCAAGGACCAAGACACCTTCATCAGATTGTTGCTTTGCCGCGAATTTCCCAGATGTTCTCTATGCATTTTGAATTGTTTATTGCTTGTTCAATTCGTTGGGTGTGACAATTATGTGTGTTCTTCAACCATCTGCTGCATGTCGTTGTCTCCTGCGGTCCAAGTGAGGATGGCAGCGTTGATAATGATAAACGTGTACGATATTCCGGCAAAGGATTTCACCGTCCAGCAGACAGGCAACCACGCAAACTGGCCTCAATTGGAAGCAGTCGTTCTATGAATTTCATTATGCTTTTGTATGCTTCTCTATCTTTTTATGTTATACAATTATATAGGCTCTTTGAACAACTCTTTGAGAATTGTGTTAAGTAGGAGACCACCACCTACTAGGGTGTGTGTATATTTAAGGAACATAATGACACTATTACTGTATATATAGTTGAAAATAATAGTTTGACAAGAACAACCCCTCAAATAATTTCCGGAGGTTTGTGTGTGAAACTGCATGAAAGTGAAGCAAAGAAACATGAAACATTGAGAAAAGCAACCGAGAAGCAATGAAAGCTGGCAGAGAGGCTCAAAGGTCGGAAATGCACAAAACCATACAAAACCACACCAAGTCTTCAACTGAAACCCAAACGGAGCAAAGGAAGCTTCAGAAAGGGAAGCGCTGATTACCTGCGGAAAGGCGAAGCGTTCAAAGTTATCCAAGCCGAACGACGAATGGCATGAGCGTTCCAGAAAAACACAAGAGGTAGGCAAACAGAATGAAAGTGGCATGTAGAATCACGTAGATATGGGTACACAATGGTACATGCATCGCGAAGATAGATGGACTAGCTGCCTAGCCAATCCTACAAGTCTGCAAAGGTGACAGGATTTGCAACAGCCCACTTCTCTGGAGCACCAACCCCATGCAGCATCAGTGATTCGTTTATGACTCCGATTGGACGCACGGGCACAAACACTCTGACACGGGCACAAGGATGTCCTCGGCTCTTTTCGTGCTCTGGGCCACAAATTTATAGAGTTTGGCGCACACGTGTGAAATCTGCAGTTCATCTTCTCTTCACCAAGGTTCATTAATTTCACACGTTCAGTTTCACGACATCCGCACTCTCTCTCGTCGCAAGTTGACTCACGAAGCCCCCCGCCCCACAGGACCCCATAAAACGTCGGCAGGTTCATTCACTGAGCAACATCATCGTCGGAAGGAACATGCCTTTCGAACGTTCAAACACCAAAAAGTTCGTGTGACAAAAAGTACATCAACATGATTGAGCCGGATAGTCACTAGAGGACACTCGCCCGTTTACTAAAAGACGGGCCCTGTTGGGTCAAAACCATGTTTCAATGCTTTTGCTTCGTCTTTCGGACGGCAAAGGAAGCGAATGAGTAAGCGAATGATACTTATATAAACTTATATATAAAGTCTTTTGGACTATGTGTACCCTTGCGCTGCGTCAAATCTTTGAAGATTGCTGCATCTTTCTCGGTTGCCTGGTCACCTCCTAGTGCGTCTGGAGGCCGAACGCGAATGCAAAAACAAATCAAACAGTAAAACACGACGGCTTTATCCTATGTTCAGGGCTTTGTTGCAAACGCTGTGCTCACATGGATAGGAGTAATTTTCCAAACAGGTCAAACGGGATCATCGATTCAAACCACTTGCGCGCCACTATAGTCTGTTCATGATCAAAAAATTGCGCACGTGTGTGTGTCCACACCTGTACCAAAGGACACTGACCAGTGCAAGATAATTCGTTTTACCTCAATTTAACAGGCAGGGGGCCAGGAATCCCTGGCGCGCGTCCTGGCCAACGAAGACCGCGCGCCAGGGGGGTGAAAACGTACCTGCGCTAACTTTAATTTGTCGTAAAGGGCTATAATGCGTATGTTCCAACAATTCTTTTCTCTGACCCAGCTTTTCTTGCTGTTCCCTCAAGTCAAGGGCTAAGTATTCAGTAACTAGAGTGCTAGGTAGTCAGTAACTAATTTCTGGAACTCGAAACTGATTCAGCTCTTGTGAGCATCAATCCAAGTGTGTTTCGCCACAGAGTCCCACTGCGGGCTGCGGCGTGATCCCCAGCGAGGGGCGCAGCATGTGCACATGCCCTTAAGGGTGACCCTTCCCTGATCCACGGTCGTGCACTTGATCCTTCCTTGACCTTCCCACGATCCTCGGCTTTGCACGAGAATGCCGACCACACGCCGCAGGGCTTACTGAGATCAAGTTCCAGGACGGATCATCACATGCTGCTACGTAGTCACATGCACATGTCATCCTGCTAAGTAGTCATAGGCCATGCTGCTAACTAAGTACTCGCATGTTGCTAGTAGTAGTTCTTTGGTTCTTTCTTTCTTGCTGTTGCTTTTCGTTTTCTAGGTCTTTTTTCGTTTTCTAGAGACTTTTTAGGTGTAACTGAGGTTTTTTCAGTCAAGCGAGCGCCGATGACGGCTTCTTTTGCCAGTGCCTTCGAGCCAGTGCTTTCCACCCCAACCCCACCCCACACCCCCTGCACCCTTTCTTTCCTTGCCTTTTTTCGTTTGTTTGGGCTTTCCTTCAGGCTTGAAAGGTCGGCGTTTAGGCTCGCTTAGTCAACGCACGCCCTGCCCACACGCCCGCACCCCCTTGCACCTTTCTCTTCCTTTCTTGCCTTTTCGCTTGTCTTGTTCTTTCTCTCAGGCTTGTTAGGTTGGCATCCAGGCTCGTTTAATCAGTGCACTCCCACACCTTCCCCCCCCCTCCCCGCGGATAAAAAGGAGCGTGCCCCGATTCTCGGCCTTTTGTGTGTCCACACCTGTACCAAAGGACACTGACCAGTGCAAGATAATTCGTTTTACCTCAATTTAACAGGCAGGGGGCCAGGAATCCCTGGCGCGCGTCCTGGCCAACGAAGACCGCGCGCCAGGGGGGTGAAAACGTACCTGCACTAACTTTAATTTGTCGTAAAGGGCTAATGCGTATGTTCCAACAATTCTTTTCTCCGACCCAGCTTTTCTTGCTGTTCCCTCAAGGCAAGGGCTAAGTATTCAGTAACTAGAGTGCTAGGTAGTCAGTAACTAATTTCTGGAACTCGAAACTGATTCAGCTCTTGCGAGCATCAATCCAAGTGTGTGTGTCTCATGTTCAACCGCGCGACGCAGCCCTCCAAAAGCCTCTCTTGCAGGGATTTTGAGCTAGCCTGCTAGGCCTAGGCTTTCGCCCGCAGCAGCTGCCCCCTACAAGTAGGGTCCACCTTGCTGCTAGGTCGCTTGCACCTCTGCATGTAGCCATCCAAGGCGTGGATGTCCGATTCAGTGAGCTCACGGATGCCACTGGCCTTGCCATTCACGATCAACTGCATGGCCAGAAACTTGCCATCGACCAATGTGTGTGGGCCTTGCCATCAACCGGGCCAGAAAAACCGACAGGCAGTTCGCTTCTGTTTCACTTCGTTCGCCGGAGGGGCCAGGGCTGCCAGCTGGCAATCTTTGGGGCATGACGGGCATGACTGAACATTGACAAACCAAGAAAAACAGATCGAGGCTGATTCGACTGAACGAGTCTCTCGGTTCAAACACCCTGATACTTTCACCAGCGGTGGGAAACCGCATCAGACACGAGGACTCGGCCTGTTCCAGGAAAGCTTTCGACCAAGGGGCTCGGCTTTTGTGGATCACATCGCAGCTTGAAGGGTGGATAAGGCAAAAGCCTCTCGACGAAGAGACGACCTCACCCCTCAGCGAAGTGTCGCTTGTTCTGACAAAGTACTCCAGGTAGTGAATGTCATGCAATGTGAATCTTCTTTGGTGTGGGTTTCTCGGGCAGATGTGACTCCCTACGGGTCGTTTTCCTGTTGTGGTGCAGCTTTGCTCCCACGGGGAGTGCTGATAATCCTCTGACGTACTGCAATATCCGAAGCAATCCCAGAAGCAATCCAGGCAATTTGCTAGCAAAATTCCATGCAATCACATGCAACCCGAGCTATCCTAGGTCCTACAGTAGTTGTTTCCAGAATCTAGGCTGCTAAACCTGCTCCAACCCTATGCTGCTAAAGAATGTCCTGGGTTTCAACCAGTTTTGTGTAGGACATAATGCTAAGAAAATCTAAGAAGCTTATAGTCGAAGGATGTCGAAGGGATGAGGAATGGCCAAACCCACTTTAAGGAAGTGTGCTGGAACAAGCCGTCGGAATACTTGACACCCGCATTGCTCTGGCTTCTCTAAAGAAACAACAAGCAACCTGGCCTGATTGGAAAATTTGTCAAAGGACATACTAGAGGTTGCCGAACACGTGTCCACCAGCGGCAGTCGCTTTCAGCCTGGCGATGCTGGTACCACAAGAAGCTCGGACAAGTATATAATAGTATATATCTAGAAGTGAGCAAGACCGACAATCCACTTACAGTAAATGTAATGTCACTAGTCACTGAGTCTCCAAACAACATCAGGTTCCCTCACACACATATACAATCAATCCATGGAATCTCCATGGCCATAGTCATATGTCGTGGAAGTCCATGCATAGTATGCTTCAACTCTTGTAAGCAGGGCATAGTCAGGTGCTTCCGAGCTTCCGTCTTTGGTATTTGTGGAGCTATATATGTACTATCATGTATAAATTCAAAACGGACGCTTTCCCAATTTCTGAGTGTGAAACAACGCATCTGTTTAGCGCTTGAGACGTCATTGCCTTTTGATTCATCCGCTTCCCCTCCTGGCTGTGGAACGACTGGCAGACCCTGGCTGTTCTTGTCGAGAAGCGGTAAAAAAGAACCAACAAATATATACAGTACAAATATATCAAAACGGTGGGGCATGAAAAGTGCAGGCTGTGCATTGAAATATATTGAAAGGATTCACTATTATGATTCAATATGATTCTATGATTCCTATGACCGTCAAGTATTGAGTAAAAGCTCCAAAAATGGGGGCACAGGAAAGAGCACAGTGCCCTCATGCGCCCAGCGTTGGATTCCGGCTACTGCACGTCTTTCCGTCCACTCTCCGTTCAGACCATTCTC